CTGCGAAGACCTAAGCATCCATAGCTGTCATGAGACGGGGAGGAGAGTAATCGATTATCCATGACCAGATTTTGAACTTTTCATTATGAAAGTGCCCTGCGATCATATGGCGCGTTTCTACATTCATTTGATTAGAAGACAGCGATTAGTCACGACTCTAAAGCAGTTGCATGAGCCCGGCGAAGCCGGGCTTCCAAGAAGGAGGAGAGCTCGGCGTTAGCCGGGCGATCCGACTGGTATTCATAAGAGGTCACAGTTTCACCAGAGTGAGACTTGTAAACCAGAACTAGTGAAGCAACGAAAGTGCAAAATGCCCCCCCCCCCCGTCGGCAAACTGCGCCGGGTGGAAGTCCTACAAAGTAACCAAAACTATGTGAAAGTTAGGGGCCCTTCTGTATCTCAGAATAAAATTGGCAAAATTGCACGGGCAAGCACTACGGAGGAAGTTGCAGTGCATCTGCGTAAGAGTCGAATGCAGGGCGCATAAAAAGAAGAGGTGAATTAGACGATTTCTTATAATTCTTATGGGAGCGTTGGCCTGCGAGCACGTTTATAGTCGTTTTCGCTGCAGACTTTGGAGTGTTTGCCGGCAGGGTTTGCCATTCCTTCTCCACAAATTATTGAAGCCAGCAAGTGATGAGCATAGGTAGAAAGCGTACTTTCGCCGCGCCAAACCCAACCCCTTGACACGCCCCAGCATCCAAAATGACTACAAGTACGATTGCGAAATTTACAAATATTCGTTCTAACGATGTGCTGGTGTTGTAGCAAAGCCCTTCTTTAAAGGAGGTTGTACAGAGATGGCTGGCGCTATAAGGGTAGAAGGTATGCGTTATGGTCTTATGATCCGAGATGACGAGGAATAGCGGAGCGCGAAGGCAGATACAACAGTGATTGCAGTAGGGTCACTCAGCGCGGATAGTGATCTGGCTTCGACTCATTCTCCTCCTCAACTTCTTCTCTGTTCGATGTTACCTGTTACGTGTTTCTCTCTATAAAGGATTATTACTATATGTGTTATGCGCGCTTCGCTCACTGGTATCAGCAAGAGAAGCTCTCCTGCGCAGCTCACTTTTCATAGGTTTTGCTTTTATATTGGTTTTATCGTTACTTCCCTGGGTACTTTTCTCCGAATCCTTCTTTCAGCCGTGTGCGCGCAGACGAAAGAGTCCAATTCAGCTTCATTCTCCTCGCAATGGCAGTAGACTATGCATGGCCTGGCCAGCCATTGCATAGCAAGAAGATTTCATCGCCTCAGCTGCTCGCCACTTGCATTGAGTGACTCACTCTCGCGCGGTCATTCTAAGTAAGCTTCGACGGCATCGTGACTTTTTTTCTGCTTTTTGTTTCTTAGCTTTTCATCTTTCCAGCGAATTTCGTGCACGCAAGTAAAACGTACACTAGTGTAGTACACTTGTGGGTGTAAGAGTGCTTTCATAAGAAAAAAAAACAATAGCTCGTGTAATGACCAGACCAATGGAACTCGTTCAGCACCTTGTAATTCGGAAAAGCTTCCGAACATACGACGTCGTCAAAGAGTTGAGCCAATGATTTCGCTCCAGTACAGAAAAAGAGAATCAAAAACGCTACAACTCTGCTAGATGCACAAAAATCTCCGCCGCAACGAAGACAAATGCAGGAGCTCGAATTTCCTCAAGCCTATCTTGCTTCAAGCGAGTATTCGACTTTGAAGAGAACTCTTTCAACCCAAGTTTGCTCTTTCGATCCTCGGTTTTTTTTCTTGCTCTCAATAATTCCGTTGTTTCTTTTTCATCACCACAAGATCCACTCCTTCCGGAGCGTCATTACCTTCATACTACTTTGCTGCCTATTCTCCTAGGAGTTATTCTTCATATAAACCATTTCCTTGTGTTTCCCACTTCTCAGTTGTGAGGAGCAAGTCATTTCTGCACGCCCGATGGCGCTATGTTTACATTCATGCGCACTGCTGCTTTATCTCATTGGTTATCTCACGGAACGCTTCAGCTCCTCGCCTTTGCTTTCAAATTCCTTCCGATTTTTTTCTGCATTCAAGTTTCCTAGAGCATGATATAATTCTCTTTTTTCTTATTTCCCTTTTCTCTGACTTATGTCTCCCTATTTTTCCATATTGTCTTCGTATTTTTCCATACTGTGTTCCTGCTCTCTCAACTAGAGAGCATATATAACCGCGTAACTGCGACCGGATCGCGGCGTTTTTTTATGCTTCGTTCGCGAATGCACTTTTTCATCCTTTTCTTGTGTCGGTTGCTACCTTATCGTATCACAGATAATACAGTTCTCATACACCAGTATTGTAGCCACGCTCAGAACATCAGACCCATATACTTTGCCCAACAGAACTAACGGATCGCTCCCAAGCGAATGCTGCCCCAGGCACTGGGGACGTCAAGACTCAAGAAAGCCATGAGACTTTGCCTCCCAGCCTCAGTTTATGGAGGGGCTTCTGAACTTTGGCGAGCCTTGCAGCCTCCAATCTGGTTTTCGGTAAAGCCTAGAGAAATTCGGGACGTTCCACGTCAGCAGTTACCGAACCTTGGCGCGACGCGCAACGCTCGACTTCTTCCCTGGCCCGGCAGGTTCCAGTCAACAAAGTCAGCCGTCTCCAGAAGCTTAACAATTAGTTCGCAGCGTTGGGGATCATTTCCAGTCCTTACCTACCGTAATGGGCCCTTGAAACTCCAGGAGTATGACTTTTGCTCCCACTTTTGTAGGGGAAGATATTACTCTACGAGCAGCACGCCTGAGACCTAGAGCGCACGATGAAGATGACGGAATCGGAAAAACACGAATACATTTTGGCTGAAAAAGATGTGTCAGAATGTGTCAAGAAAGTAGGTTCCGGAGTGCTCAGGATCTGCCCACCAGATGTCATCTTCTCAACCACCCATCCCTACTGAATATCTACGAGCGGCGCGTTCAAGGCTCACCTCGCCGATCGAGAGGCTGTTATTATAGATGAGGCATTACAACTTCCTGAACAAAGTTGAACCTGTTTTACCATGATAATTCCAGATGCACGTCAACTCTACATCGGAGACATTAAGCAAATGCGGCCTTACGTTCGGTGCTCACGAGATCAGCGCTCTTTGGTATAATCTTTCGCACCCATCCTGCCCTTAATGCTTTAAAGAATCCTTTATCTTCTATCGTGTGGTGGATCCCTGAATAGTGGAATAAATGCTGATCCTTTTTGATCGCTGTTGGTGTTCCTACTCGCTTGCATGCAAAAAAAGGAGGAAGAGGCCAGGAGCTGTCTTTCTTTGATTTATCAGCTACTGCATGTCGGCCCGTCGCCTAGTCGCAATTATTGCGTGGTAACCTCTTATAATAATTCCGCCTATTCTTTGAAGTCGCACCCGAACGCCATGTTGGAATCGCGACCGTCGATTCGATTCAGAGACGTGAGACAGACTTCATACTTGTTACAACCCGTTC